TCTATATCGATATTTATAACAGACACCGCCAAACAGGAACACATCCTGCCGCTTCTGAGATGTCTCCATTTGCTTGCTATGTGACCGCGGGTTGCAGAAACAAGTCTAACTGTGACCTACAAGTCAGTGCATCAGTACGACACCAGCGTTACCTGCAAGCTAGGTGTAATTATCATGTACAAGCCAAGGAGTAGTCTAGTTCAGCACCTTCAGGAATACCCAAGACCATCAGCATCACATCTTACCAGGGAGCCGGATCTGTCAGTGGGAACTCCAATCTGTTATCACAAGCTGTGACAATCTGAACGCCTTGACGACACAATTCAAAATGGCTGTCTGCGTAAGCCACTGACTAAATAATCTATCAAGTACAAGTTTGGAAAGACCGCCAAAAAAATTAATTTATTACGTAATTATTTTCAATTAAAAATATTAACGTGCAGCAAAGAGTGCTCGGGTGATCCTGTCACAGTCAGCCTGGTTAGGTTTGTCATCAGTTCCGGGCCCTTGTCCCCGCGGCACTCCTGTGCTGATATACTGTACAAACAGTCATCAGTTCCGGGCCCTTGTCCCCGCGGCACTCCTGTGCTGATATACTGTACAAACAGTCATCAGTTCCGGGCCCTTGCCCCCGCGGCACTCCTGTGCTGATATACTGTACAAACAGTCATCAGTTCCGGGCCCTTGTCCCCGCGGCACTCCTGTGCTGATATACTGTACAAACAGTCATAAAGTCTCAACAAAACTGGAAGAGATCACTCAGGGTAATATTTAGCAAAGAGGTGGGTTTTTAACTGGGACTTAAAAGAGACAATAGTTGATGAATTCTTTATGGCTGGAGGGAGAGTGTTCCAAAGTATTGGGGCTGATGCACTGAAAGCCTTTTCACCAATGGAACAGAAAAGAGATGTTGGTGGTGTGACCACAGGTTTCTGTCTGGGGGCCTTGTGATCTAAGATTATTTCACTGAGATATGCTGGAGCTAGGTCATGCTGACATCTATAAGCAAGACATAACGTTTTGAAATGGATCCTTGCCTCTACGGGCAACCAGTGAAGGTCTTTCAGAACTGGGGTGATGTGTGACCGTCTGGACGTCCTGGTGACAATTCTTGCTGCAGTATTTTGGATTTTGTGAAGGCGTGTAAGGAGGCCGTGGTTGACGCCATAGAGGAGACTGTTACAATAATCTTGTCTAGACATGATTAAAGCCTGAATCAGAGTTCTGGTAGCATCAGTAGTTAGGAGATAGCGAATGTTTCTAATGGCCCGTAAGTGGAAGTAGCATAGGTAGTCCACGTTCGCATCAATAGTGAGGCAATAAATACACCAAGACTCTTCACACTAGCGGTAATCTTAATGTTAGAGTCGACAACAGTTATTTCATGGCAATCCAGTTTGTGTAGACGCTGTTTTGTGCCAATGAGTATGGCCTCAGTCTTTTCGTTATTTAGAAAAAGCAAGATTTATGGATGTCAACTTCTTTATTGTGAATAGCACGACGTTTCGGACTGTATGCTTTCTCCTTCGTCATTCAGCTTAAATCATTGTTTGACATCCATGCTTTTACATGTTGAGTGCAGAGGGTTGTACGGGTAAGGGAAGTCAATAGATGTTGGATTTTGAAACTGTCCATCAATTGTGGGTCATCAGCATAGGTATGGTGATTCAATCCGTGTTGATCTGTGATGTACCCAAGACTGTTTGTGTATAACACAAACAACACAGGGCCAGGGACTGACCCTTGAGGGACTCCACAGTCTGCGTCATGGAACATACAACTGTCATAATTATTAGGCATATATTGTTTACTACACAAGTTTTTATTGTCCATTATAATATTTAATATACTAAGCAGCAAAAGAAACGTCAGTTTGGAATTTTCCTTCGCAGAAATGGGTAACTGTAAACTCATTTCATGTTTTGATTGTATATTTTTGACAACATCTCCAACTTAACCTAAGCAAAGACATTCCTTCCCAAACTCGGAATTGAACCCAGGAAATGGTCTCAAAAACGCAACCTGATCTCGGAGATGGTACGGTGTTTTCCATGTTTTTCATGTTGCACGTGCTGTTCACAAGGACCATCCCTATAAAATGCACCCCTAAACCTGGTTGAAACATTCACATTACAGTGTCAGCAGGATGCCGTGACTCAAGGCAGCTCAGAGGAACCAGGCGCTAGGAAGACTTGAAGCTGGCCACACTGCACAAGCCGCTGTCAACGTTCGGACCATCTACAGGCTGCAGCAACGTTTACGGGCCACAAACACCACAAATGATCGCCCCCGTACGACGTGGCCAGCGTTACTCAGACCAATGTGTTATGGAAAGAGATTCGTGGGGATGTGCAAGCATCATGGTATGGGGTGGTTTAGGCCTGAACCAGAGAGTGGGTCCTGTGGTGTTCCAGAACCTTGGTCCAGGGAGAAGAGGCGGCATCACAGCGGTGCGCTACACCGACCGGCTCTCAGACCCCAGCATTTCCCAGCATGATAATGCCCCGGGCCCATACTGCCAGAGCTACACGGGACTTCCTGCAGCAGAACGGTGTCAACATTATGCAGTGGCCAGCACTTAGTCCTGATATAAACGCAACTGAACACCTTTGGGATGAAATTCAGAGGAGGCTGAATAATGTCATACCAAGGCCTAACACAGCCGATTTATTGCGCCAGGCCTTTCTCAGAGTGTGGTTCCAGGTGCCAATGGCCTTCATCAATCGATTGGTGCACTCCATGCATAGAAGCTGTGCTGCAGTTATTGCCGCTCGTGGTGATCACACTAGATACTGAAGTCAAGGGTCTGAATGGACTGCAAACGTTCACGTAATGTCTTGAAATTGTGCTGAGTTATTCATTGATGTGTCAAGCTATTGTACACAAAAATGTTTTTGATCCGCTTATTATGTCCATTTCTATAATGATTTGATTACAGAGCCTTTCTAATTTTGAATTCGTACTGACGTTTTTTTTAGCTGCTGAGTATATTATTTAAAAGCAGAGTAAAACCCAATTCACTCACTCACTGAGCCACACTTTGGTGGTAAATATTTTCACGATGTAATGAGAGCGTGTTGATATTGTTAGCATACTATTTGAACTCAAAATAAAATAAAATAAATTCTAGGTTGAGAAACCTGCGTTTCTGGGTTGAGGATTAGAACTAGGATTTTGCAGGGACTGAATGAGCAAACGTGACAAGTCCGTGATTGCTGTGGATGCCGTGTCAGATTTTTAAACTGTTCAGAAATTTGCCACTGCAGTCACGGTACTAATGAGAAACCTAGTGAGTCGTAGTAAAACGTGTGGAAAGCAACAAGACGTGACAGCACGTAATATGCCGTGACAAAACTTGTAGACGGTCCGTATAGTGGGTCCGTAGTGGGACGAGAGTCATTTGTATTCCCCGGCATCTCACGGTCCTTTCACATTTGTCACGTTCCACCACGTTTGTTTGGCGTTTTGTCACGGTTGCTTCACCCTTGCTGCCCATTTTGTCCCGGTTCTCACGGCAAGCTTGGTTGTATGGTAGCCGATTCGTCCCGTTCTATCACGACGCATCCAGGCGTGTGGCGGTTTACAGGGCAGGCGAGATACGGCACGTTGCGTTCTTTGGCATTCCCTCTCTGCAGCTGATGATCGCCTTCTTGCTGACGCAAGGACTCGATGTATGCCCCCAGCAAACATACAAACACAAAATCTTCTTCATCTTGGGGGATCATGCTGCTCTTGTGTCTCAGTATACAATGGAGGCTCTTGCTTGGGAGGACTTATTTTTATACCGTGGGCACAAACGTTTTCCAAAGCTGACCGGCGTCCACGTTTCATCTGTAGAAAGTCTTGACAGAACCCACAAAACGTGTCAAAACCTTGATCAAATCGTGAGGAACGTGAGGAAACCCACCAGAACGCGTCAGGCCGCGAGGAAACGTAATGGCATCCGTAGTGGCCCGCGGGCCAAACCGTAGTCCGCCTTTGAGCTTCCGGGACTCAACAACCCGTTTTTCCCAACGGCCCATCACGGATACCGTGACAGACCGTGAGAAAACTTAAAAATTAGCAGGACCTACCGAAACTGGACATTGGAGGAAACAAATGGCCAAAATTCCACAGCGAACTACATTGCGGGAAAACGGGGCTGAGTAGCCGCCGGAAACATACCTAGCATAAATATCCAAGCTGGCTTTGTGAATCAAATCCCTCAAACACCATTCTGTCACCACATTGAATCATCTTTTTAAGTGTATCTGACAATTGCGTCGGTTCATTCATCTTGTAGGAGGGGCGGTGGGGTAGCCTAATGGTTAAAGCGTTCGCTCGTCACGCCGAAGACCTGGGTGGTGGGGGTGAGGGTCAGCAATTTTGTACACACGTACTGGGAGGTGGGGGTGTCAGCAATTTTATACATAAAAATATGTTTAAAATCTTGCTTAGAAATTATGGGAAGGGGAGGAGGGTCATTGATTTTGTACATGGCATGCAAAGTGGGGAAGGGGGGGGGGGGGGGCACATATTTTGTACATAAATTTTAGGGGGTATCATTCACATTGTACATGCTTCTCCATAAAAATCATCACCACCACCCCTAGCCATAAATTATGAACGGTCCCTCCCCTCTGGTTAGAGTAAACATGATACGACAATGTTGTTGTTTAGCCTTGTAAATACGGTAAATTAATAAAACGTTGGTTTTAACGTCGACATATAGAAAAGGGATACATGTCATAAAAAGCCATTCGATTATGGTTTTTTTTCAATTGTACGTGAATGTTTTAGTATGCGTTTATCATAAATTTAAGTTAAATGCTTTTTGTATTTTTGGGGGGAACAAACATCGAATAATATAGCTTATATGTGTCCTTTTCGTCATCAATAATTTGGAATCTGCCTATTTGCATAAAATGCTTATAAATGGCTAAAAATGTATGAACGACTTTCACTTGTTTTCGTTATGACGTAAGGCTAACCTACGAGGACATGACCCGGATCACGTGACCGAGGAGAGCACGAGGCCGCGTGCTGACAGTCAGGCACACAAACCACTCTCAGCATCTATTCGTCGGGGAAGAATGGGTCAAGTTGAACCCATGTTCTTACGTATATACTCAGTCTATCGTCACAAGAGACAACAAGAGATGTCCTTAGTCCCTGATATTCAACTAGTGACTGGCTGTAGTGATTCTTTTTCACCGGATTTGTATCATTCCTAGTCCGAACTGTCGATCTGCGTTCCACTTCATCTGACATGATGCAAAGGCTATCGCGATTCCAAGATGTCTTGCCTTTGGGGTCAAGGCGCATGGATGTTTTTTCAGCTGGAATGGTTAGACTGTTTTCAGATGAAGTGTTTAAAACGGAATATCAGGATCGAGAACGTTCAAGATCAGTGACATCATTTTATTACCAGAGTGCTATCGATCAAACAGCGGCCAAGGTATTGTTTATGAAAATGCGAAACATTGTCCGGTTTTCGTCCACATTGTTGTTTTACCAAAACATTACCATCTTTGCATATTTATTGAGTAAGTCAGTCAACGTAACATTCTAAACTTTTAGACATGATGTTTGCTGTCTATATAATTGTGATGTCATCCCAATAGACATATTTCAGGGTGAGGTAGCCACGCCAATATTGTGGATTTAGCTGGGTTAGAATCAGCTGATCGGTTAATCATTTCCTCAGGGCTGAGACTGCAGATACCAGTGAATCACATTATTACTGCCCATATCTGCTGCTACAGACACGGATCACATATAAATCAACAGCTAGTTCAAAGCCTTAGTGTTATACTGTCTCAACTCTGTCAGTTTGACAAAAACGCTTCGTATTCCCAGGGTCGAAACAAAACACCACAAAACTGAATGCATGGGACACAACTTAATATTCCTGACACCTATGAACATCATTTTAGAATTTTCTCAGAATTAGTTTGAGTTTGGGTAAGAGTTACACCTGTAATTCCCGCTTGAAATGTATCTATTTGTTAGGATTATTTTGAGGGATTAGCCTTAGGCTTTTTATAAGAAACACATTCTAAGGCATAGAATGATTGAAAAAATTGGGGGGTTACGTGTGGAAATCTTTCCGTTTTATCATGATTTGTAGCCTGGCTAACTTAATATTTTGGTGTAGGGAAGTCTTGAGAGTATGCAAGCCGGTTAATGATTTATATCTGGTAACAAAAGTATTGCGACAAACATACTGTACCATTTGCTGACATTTTTAGTAGAAAATAAATGGTAACAGGTTCCGGCAGTTGTTACTGACTGTTACATGAAATATGGTAATGTGACTTTCAATACATAGAATAATGGATTCGAATCATCTGTCAAGCAGAACATGTCTGTAATCCATCATATAATTGAAATAATCGGTTTCCAACATGTTCTATATGATGCATGAAATTCACCACCGGTATCCTATTGTGGACATTTTCAGATGTGAACAACATCTGCATCATGGTAACTGTTCTGTGCTGCGAAGCAGGCAGCCTGTAAGACATTTACACCATGACAGTTTTGACACAGACTGATTGTTTTGTAGTGGTGTGACGATTAATCGATATGCATCCATCCATGGGCTGCTGATACAGTGAATCGATACAAAGTTTTACATTGAAGTCTTTCCCGATACGATATTTCAAATGGGCCACGATACATCGATGTTTAACTTTGAATATTGCCGAATCGCGATATCTGTCAAGAAAAATGACTTGCTTTTGTTTGATGATTAAAATATATACTTACTTATTTTCCCTTCATATGTAAACGTTTTCTCGGAAATTCATGCGTCAAGAACTGTGTCAGACATGGCGCTCACATGTTATTAACATTCACAAAGCCCCTGCATAAACTTTGTTATCCTGTTTCCGAATGAACATTGAAAAATGCTGGCGGAATTTGAAGAAATACTTTAAAATGGTTTTGTTTGATCTTAAGGTGTTTTATAGTTGGTGTTAGAATTAGAGGTGTTAGCATCGTATACGTAACATATCACCACCCTTATATCGGGATTCGTATCATATTGCAGTTTCAGCATATAATACTTTGTCAATATATCGTCGTGACTAAAATGTTAGTATCTGGATGTATCGTATCGATGGTTGTATGCCAATACCAGCACTATTGTTTTGGACAGTATTTCTAGTACCGTTTTATACTTTTCAGGTGCTTTAATTTGAGTGACTGAACCACGACCTCATTCATATATTTTAGCTAGTTATGTCAGTGTAGGTGGGACTGAACAGGAAGCTACCAGTAGTAGCGGTCATCAATGAGGAAGTGAGATACTAGGTCTCATCACATGTACCTATGTCTGTGTACTCTTGGTCATAGATATTTGGGATCCTGGACAAATTTAGAATTGGGTTCCCAGGCATGTATATAAAAGTTATTCCCAGGGTAAGCAGTACCAGATCAACTAGGCATTGAAAATGCAGTTTGAATTGATGATGCTATATTTTGTCAAAATCTTTCATATTAATGGATTTGTAATTTGCATTGCTAAGCACTAAACATTAAAGCATTTGACACTTTACATTCAACACTTTACATTCAGCACTTTACATTTAACACTTTACATTCAACAAATAGTTACAGCTGTTGAAGTCCCATTACAAAATAGTGTATATAAATCTACAGGGTTTGAGAGTAGAGACTGTTAATATGTTGGGAGTGCATCTTGTGCTCTGATTCATGCTCCAGAAGATGTGGCACAGACAAGCTCAGATATATAGTAGATGCAACTTGCGGTATGACTTCTCATGGGTGTTGCACGGCTTGGGTGAGTCCAGCAACATTAAGTGAAGGGTCTTGTTGCCATCATCCAAACACTGCCCACATGTTTTTCAGTGAATTTGGAAGGTCGTTGTTGCAGTTGCACATTGTTCTGTGTGAACCATGTGGGTGGAGAAATGGAATGAGACCAGGGGCGGATCCAGGATTTTGAAGGGTGAGGGGTGCACATAAATCATGAAGTCCAAATGTTAAGGAGAAATGCACCTCAGGGAAAAACATTTCAGGGTGGGGGAGAGGTGGTGTTGACATTTATTGGATCAACATTAGTAGTATACACAATGGGGCTACGGGACCATTAGTCTAAGGTGCGATTGAATCTATCGACTATGGCTTGGCTACGGCGAGCTCCTGCCACACCTCGTCTCACTTGGACTTTGCGCTTGGTCAGCAGCTGTGTCACGGCTCCCATGAACTCACGTCCGGGATCGATTTGCAATACGGCAGGCCATGTCAAGCAACTTCGTTTGTATATGCGTTCTAAGGCTTTGGCAACTTCGTTCGAATCTTTGGTCATCAACGGTTCGGCTTCCTTGTAGCTACGTCGACGACTGTCAGGGCGTACTTGTAGGTGTTACGCCTCACCTTGTCGTGAGGGAGAAACAGGAGGTCGGCTTGGTGGACGCGATTCGGCGTTGAAATGTCGAATTTTCTTCTCGGATGTATCGAGGCGCCGGCAGATAGACTTGCCAGATGGCTTGTTTTTTAAGCCAAGCTTTGGCGACGTCTTCCGAGACTCGAGCGGCTTTGGCGAGTTTCGGGATGGCGTCCGCGCCTTTCCAGTACCCGCTCGGGCTGTAATAAATTTTCTCCATGATGTATGTACGCATGTGTGCGTAAGCGTTCAATTATTCGATTCGCGTTTGTGTGACTCCGTCGAGTAAGTGGTGACTCCGTCGATGGCGATCCATCGTTTCGTGTCCATGGGAGACAGTGAGATCTTGTTGATTCTCAGTCCGTATGTGTTTTTTCAACCACGTGGTTTTTCACGCCTTTCAGATTTCGTCGTTGGTCGGCTTACATCTTGGGTCTCAAACCGACGTACTCGGCGATCGGCGTGCCCACGCATTCGTCCTTCACCTTGCCGAGCACTTTTGTTGACTTGTCTGTGCATAGGGTGATCTTTAGGGTAGTTGCTGGTGTCGTACAGGTGCATGTGTTTCTTCATGTCCTCGTACACATCCTCGGTGTGAATTTCCATCAGCAGGGACTGTGTCAGTGTACAGCACTTCGCACCTGTTGCCGTACTGCTTTTTCAGCTCGTTGTAGTAGAAATCGTACATCAAGTGTTTGGATAAGTCGAGGATGCTCATCCCCATATAAATGGGCCGGTTGAATTTGATGTGCCTTTTCATCATGTGCAGTGCTGCCAAGTCGTCGTCGAATATTTTGCTTCGGTTGAACGCCGGACTAGCCATGAGTTTTCCTCGCTGTCTCTGACTAATTTCACGTTAACATGTTTTCTCAAATTCTCCATCGTCTTGCCGAACACTGTGTGGTTCATGAGCTTGTACAAGTTTTTTCCGAAGTCGCTCGTGGCTTGTTTTCGCAGATTCGTGTTCAACTGAATGTAAGGTTCCATCCATGGACTTTGATTGGACTGGAGCGTCATTTCATTCCCAGTGACAAGTACAGCTGCAGATTACGATAGTGAACGACATATTTTGACTTGTTCATCAAGTTCGGCACGAGTTTTTCGATGTTAGCCGGCTTGTTGTCACCCAGCAAGTTTCGTTGATATTTGGGCATCCAGTCCGGGTTCACCGTCATTTGTTCGGGAGCTAGCGGATAGCTGTTGTGCAATTCGTGTAGTTCTGCGGGATAGTCCAAGTCCACTTCGAGCACGTAGCCTTTGTTTGAATCCGGCGCGATGCTATTCACGTCAATCGTGAGGATACCCATTTGAATCCCCCGGTGTGGAGATACTGACTCATGGCCCAGCTGTACAGGTTGTTGGCGTCGAGATAGAATAAGAGTATGTGTTTGGTCGGTTTGCCGGGGTTGTGACCAGGAACGTACTTGTTGTTGGCTTTGGCGTATCGTTTGGAGGTCATGGAAATCCCACCTCGCAAGCCTTTTTCCACGAACAGGTGCATGTCGTAATCCGTCGGTAGTTTCAGCTCCACGCCGGTCTTTTTCAACAAGGCGTCCCAAGAGAGACCGGGGGATGAGAAATACCACGCTGGGTCCAGGTCGTACTGTTTCGAGCATGTTTTTCTGAATATCTCGAACACGTCGGCCAGCACCAGCACGTCCGTTTTCAAGTACAGGTCGTGGTAATTGCCCAAATTCTTGCAGCCCAGTTTGTCCCACACGTTTATCGTCTTCAGAGATATTGGAATCGGTCAAGTTGCTGTAAAAGCGGTCGATGGGAGGTAATCGCGTCTTGTCGAACTTAGACCAATCGTCCATGTACTCGTAGGGGCAGAGGTCGAGTCTTGGCGTCGGTGTATCGATTGGTGATGACGAAGTCGTCCGTGTCGTTGGCGTTCACCAGACTGTCTAGAGACGACAGCAGGAACTGAACGCTATCGATAAATTTCAGACTGTCTAACAAGAACGAGATGTATTTTTCCATGTTGTTGGGGATGCATGTTATGTTGTCGTCGAACGTGGTTGACCATAGTTCTCCCTAGTAGA